TAGGGATTGATTATTTACCTAGATATTATCAATTATAATAAACGATAATACATGGATATTATATTTAATAAAGATATCGATATTAATAATATATAGACTAGATAAGAGATTAAGATATATGCAAACATAAATATAAATATATTTATCCTTATCTTTATCTTATCCTTTTATTCCCTCTTATACTTTATTATCTTTATTATCTATTATTATTACCTTCTTAATCGTAGATTATGATAATAATAATTATATGAAGATATTCCCCTTCCTCCCCTTTACCAGAGATTGACCATATAAATTCTTATCTCATTCATATTTATTTTATCTTTTATTGTTTATTTTTCTTTATTTATTATATCTTCATTATTTAGTAAACCCTTATTCTCATTCAACTCTTATAGAGTTTCATTCGAATATGGTAGGGTTTACCCTTATATATATAATTATATGAAGTAAAATAAATCTAATATAGAAGTATTAGATAGATATATAACTAATAAACCTTATCATAGATATAGTAAAATAATGAAATATATCTATAATTATAGATAAGTTATAGGGATTGATTATTTACCTAGATATTATCAATTATAATAAACGATAATACATGGATATTATATTTAATAAAGATATCGATATTAATAATATATAGACTAGATAAGAGATTAAGATATATGCAAACATAAATATAAATATATTTATCCTTATCTTTATCTTATCCTTTTATTCCCTCTTATACTTTATTATCTTTATTATCTATTATTATTACCTTCTTAATCGTAGATTATGATAATAATAATTATATGAAGATAAGGAAAAGAAAAATGAAAACATATCCCAATAATATTACTTAGAAAAATAAAGAAATATATATCCTTAGATATTAGAATATATAAATTAGTAATATTTATGAAATATATCATTAAATATAAATATTATAATATATCTATCATTTTCATATATTATAAAAATAAAAATATTTAAAAGAATAATTAAGGGGGTGGGGGTACCTCCGGTGGTCCCTCCGGGAGGGTCTCTCTATCCTACCTCTCCTATATTCATATTATATTATAATAATATTATCTTATTATATATATTTAATTTAACTATATAAATTCATATATATAAATAATAATAGATATATATATAAATATTATATATTATATTATATTATATATAAATAAATATATAGTAAATTAACTAATATTACTAATAATAAATAAGAAATAATAAGAATACATATATAAAATGTATATTAATTAATATTACAAAATAATGAATAAAGATTTATATGAAATAGAAAGTATATAATAAAAATTATAAATGATGAAAAATAACATAATATGTGTATATATTACAAAATATATAATATTTAATAATATATATAATTATATATAAAAGAATAAATATAAATGAGATAGAAATTAAGATTAATTAATCTTTAATATTAATATCATATAATTCAGTATGAGGTAAATCATTAGTATATTTACGATTTAATTGTAAAGCTTTTAATTGAATTTCAACAACGAAAGCAACAATTAAAAGAATTAAGAAAATAACAAGAACAACTAAACCATATACACCATTAGTATAAGGACTAATAACATATGGTAAAATAGAAGAAATTTCTAAATCAAAAGGAAGGAATAAGATAGCAACAAGAATAAAGGCAACGCTAAAAGCGGATCTAGATTGTTGGAATGAAGTGAAACCACATTCAAAAGGACCATCTTTTTCAATATAAGAATTACTAGTAGCTAATAATCAGTTTAATCCAACTAAAGCAATAGCAACAATAGGACATAAAATAAGATAAGCAGTAAACATTATGATAATATAATAGTAATCACATCTAATAAGTTAAATATATAAACGAAATAAGTAATAAAGAATACTAATAATATACTAATAATTAATGCTAATGATTTATTAATAGGTAAATTATAAGGTATCATTAAATTAGTAGCTAATTGTTTTATTACATATGCATAATAATAAGTAGCTATAACACTAAAAATAACAATAGATATAGCTTCAACAGTAAAGTTATATTTAATTAAACTTTGAATGATATAGAATTTACCATAAAATCCAGGTAGTGGAGGAATACCAATTAATGAGAAGAAACATAATATTAAACAAAGGGATAATAATTTGTTAGGTATTACTAATTGGTTAACATTAACAATAGGTGATCATTGACTATTAGGTTTAGTAATAAATTGATTACTAGTTAATAAACATAAGAATATTAATATATGTGTAATAACATATTGTATAATATATATATAATATGATGGATCTTGTATACATACAGGTAATAATAAATATCCAAAATTTAATATACCACTATATGCTAATATAGTTTTAAAATTAACTTGGAATAATGGTTTATAAGCAGCTATTATAATAGATAAATAGAATACTATTATTAATAAATCAGAATGTATTAAATTAGAATTAGTATAAATTCATGATAATATTGATACTTTTGCAACTATTGAGATATATCCAGTTATATAAGTAGGTGCATAATTATATACAGCTATACTTCATGAATGTAAAGGAGCTAATCCCATTTTAAATATTAAAGCTAATACTAAAATATCTAAACTATCAAATAAACTACTTGCATTATGTATAGCATAATAATTAGTAATATCAGTAATATTACAACTACCAACAGTATTATATACAAAATATGAGGATAATAATATACCAATAGATGCTATACCACCAGTTACAAAATATAACATACTACCTCTAGTAGCATTATAAGATTTATGATGTACACCAGTAATAATATATAAAGAGTAACTTTGTAATTCAATTATAATATATAATAATAATAAATCATTAACCATAGGGAATAAAATTAACCCTATTAAATTAATTATTATTAATAAATATATTCATATTGATGATATATCATAACGTTGTTTAACTGTAGTATATATTAATAAGAAAATAACTAAAAGAATTTGAAGATAAACTAAAGGAATATTAGTATCATTAAGTTTAAATCAATCATTATATACAGTATATAAACTATATCTTAAATCTAAACTATTATAAGCTAGATATAGGACATATAGTAATCCTAATGATGCTAATCTATTTATATGATAAATATTAGCATGGTTAAAAGCGATATATATAAGTAAAATAATAACTATAGAAAATAGCATAAGACACAAAGGGAATCGAACCCTTATATTATTATCCGTAGTAATATGTATTACCATTATACTATGTGTCAAAAAAATAGAAATATATTATAAGAGAAATATATATATATATATATAAATATATAACGGCCAATCAGTGAATCGAACACTGATCCTAAAAAGGGACTATATAGCAAATAGCCTAACTGTACCAATAAGTAAAATTGACCAACGTACTACATCAGGCTCGAACTGACATCTCTTTTAGTGACATTAAAAGGCTTTACCATTAAGCTAGTAGTACATATAGAAATATATATATAAGAAATTGAACTGACACGATTCGAACGTGTATGACCTAGCCCAAATCTAGGGGACTTGCCGATTAGTCAACAATTCATGAAAATATATAATATATTAGAGAGATATTAAACTCTCCTATATATATAAGGTTTATATAATAAAAAGAATAATTATTTCTTTGTACCAATATAGTATAATATGTTTTCTGCTGATGATATAGCAGGAACAATTAATAAATAGTAAGCAAAATAGAATGCAGTAGCGTATTGTCCTAATTCAATATAAGGAACTTCAACATGTAATTGACCTAAGTTACCTAATAAGATAAAGTTAAATAAGAATAAGAAGAACATAAATTTAGATAATACTTTGAAACTGTTACCACGGATAAATGATCTATCTGTATAAGGTAAAGTAAGTAAAATTAAAATAGCACCGAACATAGCTATAACACCACCTAATTTATCAGGAATACTACGTAAGATAGCATAGAAAGGTAATAAATATCACTCAGGAACAATAGAAGGAGGTGTAACTAATGGGTTACCAGGGATATAGTTATCAGGATGACCTAAAGTATTAGGTGAATAGAATACAAATAAACTAAATATTAATAAGAATACAAATACAGTAACTAAATCTTTAAAGATAAAGTAAGGATGCATAGGTAATCTATCAACATTTCCAGTAATACCCAATGGGTTAGATGATCCATTAACGTGTAATGCCATTAAGTGCATACATACTAAAGCAGCTAAAATGAAAGGTAATAAGAAATGAAGAGCAAAGAATCTTTGTATTGTAGGGTTACTTACACTGAAACCACCTCAAATGAATGGAACAATATCTTTACCAATGAAAGGTATAGCAGATAATAAGTTTGTAATAACAGTAGCCAATATAAAAATATAATTTATATGAGTTAAACTCAATATAATATAAATATATTATATTTGTTAATATAAATTATATCATGTACTTATTTAATTTAATATTTATATATATATATATAAACTTAATTAATCTTAAAATTATATAATATATAATAAATAAAAATAATAAATATTTATAATAAAACTATTGATTTTATTATATAAATAAGCCTTGTGAAACTATATATCTATATAGTTTATTATATCCGAGTGCACATTAAGTATCATTACAGATACCCATAATTGAACCACTCTGTAGGGATAATTTAACTTACCCATGGTCTTGTTACTTAACAAATAATTTTGACCGATTTTCAATTATGTTGCATATATTAAACAATAAATTTCTTGTTAAAAATTACATTTATTTATATAACATATACTATATATTAATATTATAATAAATATTATATATGATTTCCAAATTTATATTTCATACATGGTACTATATAAGGTTTTACTATCTTTACTAAATCAGGCATAGATTCAACTCATATATATATAGAATATTGAGATTCAGCACCAGTAGACTGTAGAGAACAAGTAAGATTATATTTATTTTTAAGTATACTAGTTAAGAATAATAATTCATCATAAGTAAAATTATTAGTACTTAATTTTATAGCATTACCAACTTTACCCCCATCATCCATAATTCAGATAGCAAGAGCTAAAGGAGTTAGATATAATTCTAAATCCTTAGGTAATATTTTAATATAATTACTTATTCCTTTAATAGGTTGAGGATTAGGTATATATCATTTAGAATGAATGTGATTAAATTGATGATAAGATCAAGTAGTAAATCTAATAACTTTTCTTATTTTACCATTCTTTTTTAATTTAGTAGATATCTTAGGAATTGTAGTATTACAATAACCTAAATTAGCTATTAAACTATGTAAATATAATAAATATTCTTCATTACTAGATTCTTGATAAAAACAAATTCTAGTAGCTTTACCACCAGAACGTCTTTCAGCATGACCATTTCCTAACAAAGAACCATATATAATACTAATCATATCTATATTTAAAGGACTATAAAAATTAGTAACTTGATTTCTATTAGTAATATTTAATTTAATAGGATATTTAACCTTATTAATTTGTGTAATATAAATTATATATAATATTAATATATTTAAGGCAATTATACTACCTCAATGGGACATTTGACCATATACTAAACAATAACCCATAAATGCAGTTGCCATAGTTAATACAAAGATAATAACACCAATAACTCATAACATAACTCTAGGACGTTTGTAACTACCATAGTATAAAGCTTTACCAATATGTAAATACATACAAATAAAGAAGAAACTAGCTCCATTAGCATGAATATAACGAATTAATCAACCAGCATTAACATCACGCATGATATGCTCAACAGAATTAAAGGCTAATTCGATATTTGAAGAGTAATGCATTGCCAAGAATATACCACTGGCAATTTGAATAACTAAACATAAACCTAATAAAGAACCAACATTTCATCAATAGTTGATAGAACTAGGTTGTGGGCTATCGATAAGATAGCTATTTACTAAAGATAAATAAGTATTACTTTTACGTATAGGCATATTTATATATAAATATAATATTCAAAAAAGATATAAAAGATTATCATATAAAACTTAATTTTTATTTTGTTATAAATAATAATAATATATATTATCTCCTATATTTAATTATAAATTAAATAATAAAAGAATATATACATATTATTCAGCAGCTTCTGATAATCATTCAATGAAGTCACTAATTGAAACACACTCTAATTTTATCGGCATTAATGCATGGTTTACACCGCATAATTCTGAACATTGTCCATAATAAACACCAGTACGTTGGATTAAAGCACTAACTTGGTTTAAACGACCAGGTGTAGCATCAATTTTAATACCTAATGAAGGTATAGTGAAACAATGAATAACGTCATTAGCAGTAACAACAAATCTAATGTGTGTATCAACAGGAACAACAATAGATGTATCAGTATCTAATAATCTAAGTTGTCCTTCTTCTAATAAATCATCAGGAATAATATATGACTCAAATTCAATAGATTCTCCTGTTTCGCTTACAAAGTCTGAATATTCATATTTTCAATATCATTGTAAACCTATAACTTTAATAGTCATAGCTGGAGTTAAAACTTCATCACATAAATATAATAAAATAAAACTAGGGAAAGCAATTAATAATAATATAACAGCAGGGAATAAAGTTCAAACAATTTCAATAGTTTGTCCATGTCTAATATATTTATATGCAAATTTATTATTTTTAAAATCTTTAATAATAACATATAATAAATATGAAACTAAACCTAATATTAATGTAAGATAATACATAATATGGTCATATAATTCATGAATACCCTCACTATTTGGTGTAGCGGAGTCTTGAAATCTTATTGCTCAAGGTGTTGGCACGTCTAATCTAATCATAATTTAAATTAATAAAATATCACATATATCTGGAATCAATCGGAATTGAACCGATAACATACGCATGCAAAGCGTAAGATTTACCAATTAATCTATAATCCCATAAGAATATGACATGATTTGTTATTATAAATGATTAAATTTATTAGTTTATTATATCCTCTTTATTAATAAATAAAGCATAGATATATTACTATTACATTATTATCTTTAATGTTTATATAGTGAATATGTAAGGCTTAATATTTTATAAGCTATCAATATTTATCCTTTATAGTTTTAGCTAAGAATCAATTGCTCTTCACCATTGAACTATATTATATAATCCTTTCGTACACATATAATTACATATTACTATTAACGTCATAGATGATAAAATCATTACTGACTCACGTCGTAATTAACCCATCTCAAGTAACTTTTTAAACGACGAACAGTCGTACCCTTATTAGCTTCTACGACCAATAGGATAAGTCTAGACGACATCGAGGTGGCAAACATCGCTGACGATATCAACTCTCTAGCGATATTACCCTGTTCATTAATTATTATCATATATATTATTTAATATATATATCTATATATCACTATATAGATTAGACTATGTCATCACCTAAAATTAAAATAAATAAAAAATATAAAATGAATAAATTGAATAAATCTATTTATTAAGTTTTGGTAATTTATACCTAAAATGATCAATTATTCAAGGATTAATTAAGTTAAAAAATAAATCATAATTATGATCAGGTATATATATAGTAGGTTTTTTCTTATTAAAAGATAAAGTAGTATTAAATTCATATTTTAAATTTAATTCTTTAATTAACATTTTAACTTCTTCAACTGTAAACCCTTGAGTATTTAATGTTAAAGAATGATCTGTTAATGAACGTTTACCTTTATAATAATTTCTACCTCCATCATCCATATATCAATAAGCTAAACTAATAGGAGTTAAATGATTAATGATCAAATTACTTCTAATTATTTTTTTCTTATTATTAAGTAAAAATAAAGAACCTATATCATTAAATATGACATCTTGATATGTTTCCATACGTCATGTTTTCTGTAGATTACCATTTTTATTTAATCTAGAATATAAATGAGGTTCTTTTAATATAAAATCACCAAATATATCATATACATGAAAAATATAATCTTTACTTTTTTCACCTCATTCAAATTTAATACCATGAGTTTTACCATTATTACGTGTATAAATATTAGCATCTCCTAATAAATGACCTATTAAAGCTTCATATTGATATGAAGTTAAATTAGTAAATTGAGTTTTATAAGCTCTTAATAAATTACTATTTGGTCCTATATTACGGACTTTTGATTTAGATATGTATTTCATTGTTTTATTTAATTATTGTTATTTTTATTTTAATTTATTATAAATTAGGTGTAGGGCTTTCTTGAAAGAATTATTGTTAGTAAACTCATCTTTTAGTCGTTGAACGTTTATATATTTATAAATACTAATATATACTTCGCTACAAATTGTCTTATAAATATAAGATATTTTTGTAATTAACCCTATTAATTAAGTATATCTCACGATATACGGGGACAACTTAATATCCCTAGCGTAACTTTAATCCGTAATCGACACTCAATTCTAATGATATTGCCTGTTCAATATACTATACTTAAGTACTAATTCCACAAGTATGTGTCATTATCATAGCACAGTTATGTTATTATCCTTATTCATAAAATTAATTATATATTATTTGATATATATAATATTATATTAATTTATACTAGTTGCCTACTAGTGTATCTGTACTTATTTATTCTATTATAATCTTAAAAAGATAATGGCCTTATAAATTAAAACTAAAAAGTAATAAAATATAAGGGAATATAAAAATATCATTTAGACACATCAGTTATGTTTTGTGATGCCGACGCCCCATCGAAACTAACCATCTTATATGGTACCTTATAAAAGGTTAGTTATATATATAAATAAATAAACATATTAATGAAAATATTTAATTTAAATATTTATAGATATAACAGTATAAGAATATAGTAAAGCTGCATAGGGTCTTTTTGTCAATCTATGACTACACAGTATCTTCACTGCGATTACTATTTCACTGGGTATACCATAGATACAGCTATAGTATCGTATAATCATTCATGCGGGACACCAATTATATGCCAATGAATTTTGCTACTTTCAGATCCTCATGATAAGACCGTCGTTTATAAGTCAATTATTTATTTATCTAACTTACACCGGACAGATATCACTTACTATACCGATAGTTTCCTATTTGCAGTAAGCTGTGTTTTTGGTAAACAGTCGTACTATTCAGGCCTTGCCTTATTTGCCGAGTTCATTTATGATACTTCACCCATTCCTACTCAATATTATTTTATTTAATAATATTATGATTATTTATTATAATCATTTACACACCTGGGTCGGACTGCGGTACGGTTATTACATTTTCCTGTACTATCAATCATCATATATATATCTTCATATATATACTTAGATACCGTTAATTTATAGTTAAACCTTATGTTTTGTAGGGGTAATCCTTAATTACCTATCGTTACTCAAGTCAGCATTGTCTTTATAGTTCTTATCACTATATAATCTACTACTATATAATACATTTCATATTATATCTATTATTCGGTTCCTACATTTAGACCCGTATATTTGTTCCTATCTTTTGATTTATATATTATAATATAATATAAATTCTATTAGTGCATTTTTACATGTTCTTTAACAGGTGATTATTATCAAACCCACTGACTAATTGTCTGATCAAAATAATCCCTATAAGGGATATAAAGGGGTATTTATCTACCCATAGGATTGTATTCACTTAATGAGGATTTGGGACCTTCATTTAATAGTCTAGGTTATTCCCTTTTCGACCTATTACCTTATCGCAATAAGTCTGACTCCTTATTTGTCATATCACTCCTGTTCAGAGGTTTAATACATATAGTAAATAAATTTATTCCCATATGGTATTAAGTGCTTTACCAAGGTGTATGCTTTAATAAGGGCTATACTAACATATATTTCGTAGATAACCAGCTATCTGCACATCAGTTTTGCCTTTCACTACTATACACATATCTTTAGAAGATATTGCTACATCTACCTATTTGATCATATATTATTTTAATATATATCTATACATATATAGATCATGTGCTTTCGGGTCTATTCCTATAAACTATATCTTGTTATATATAATTATATATTTCGCTTATAAAAATAACTCACTGACCCATTATACAAGAGGTACACTATACTATAGTTGCTCTTTATTAATATATTTCATTATATCTCTTATATATATTTATTAATTAATATATAATTTGATACTTTAACTCTTTCCTTTACAGTACTTTTAACTTTATGTTATAGTTTATGTATTAGTAGTAGATACTACTTTATTCATACTTCTAAGTATTACTTGTATACAATAACAGATTCTCTCACCGATACTACTGTTAACCCTATTGGTTTTTACATATGTTACTAAGATGTTTCAATTCACATACTTTTATATATACTATTTATAGCTAGGATCGGCATATGCCAAACTAATTTATCCTAAATATAACATAAGTCTTATATATACCATGTATATATAATTTATGAGTATCCATATATTAATATTAATATCATTTATAACTTTTTCAAATCATGTCACCTTTATTATTAAATAATAATATATATTTTTTTATTTCTTATATATATCTTATATATATTCTTATATTATATATAATTCTAATTTAGAATAGGTGAGATATTAAGATATTCTTATTAGAATATTAGTTAAAATATATAATATATAAATTATAAGTACATATTTTATATATGTCATATACAACACGATGATTATTTAGTACATCACATAAAGATATTGGTATTTTATATCTTATCTATGGTATGATTAGTGCTATGGTTGCTACTGCCATGTCTGTTATTATTAGATTAGAATTATCTGGACCTGGTGATCAATTCTTACACGAAAATCGTCAGGTTTACAACGTTCTGGTAACTGGACATGCTATTGCTATGATTTTTTTATTTGTTATGCCAGTATTAATTGGAGCATTTGGAAATTTCTTTTTACCAATAATGATTGGAGCAGTAGATATGGCATTTGCAAGATTAAATAATATTAGTTTCTGATGTTTACCTCCTGCTTTAGTATGTATCATTGGTTCTATATTAATTGAATCAGGAGCTGGTACGGGATGAACCGTATATCCACCATTATCATCAATAAGTGCTCATTCAGGTCCTTCAGTAGACTTAGCTATCTTCGCATTACACTTAACAAGTATTTCATCTTTATTAGGTGCTATTAACTTTATTGTTACTACTTTAAACATGCGTAGTATAGGTGTACATATGATCGATATGCCTTTATATGTTTGAGCTATATTCTTTACAGCTATATTATTATTATTATCATTACCTGTATTAACAGCTGGTGTTACATTATTATTAATGGACCGTAACTTTAACACAGGATTCTATGAAGTAGCTGCTGGGGGAGATCCGATCCTTTATGAACATTTATTTTATATAATATGTATAATTTATGGTCTTATATACCTCTTAAATGATAACAATGTTATTATTATAGATAAATCTTTTGATTTTAAAGAATTTTATTCTGAATATAATAGATATTATCCTAATAATAAATTACCTTCAAAAGATTTTTTACAATGATTTATAGGTTTCTTTGAAGGTGATGGTTCTTTTATTATGGGTCAAGAAGCTAGAACTATTAAAATAATACAATCAATGAAAGATAGAAATATTTTAGAATATATACAAAGTAATTTAGGTATGGGAAATATAGGTATTCATTCTAATAAGAATAAAACTTTATATTGATCTATTACTAATTTTAAACATAAATATTTAATATGTTTAATATTTAATGGTAATTTAGTATTACCTATGAGACTTTTTATATTTATTAAATTTATAGCTGAATTAAACATTGATTTATTAAGAAATAATTTAAAAATTATTAATATTAAAGAATATGTAATATTACCTACTTTAAAAGATTATTGATTATCAGGATTTACTGATGCTGAAGGATGTTTTACTGCATCTATATTAAATAATAGTCCTCATGCTTATAGAGTAAGATATATTCTTACTCAAAAACATCTTTGTAATAAATATGTTTTAGAACATATATTATCTTTATTTAATAAAGCAATTGGAGTAAAACTAGGTGAAGTTTATCCTCATTATGAAAATAATTATTGAGAAATACGTATTAATGGTTATAAAAATTGTAATAAAATATTATTTTATTTTGATAATTTTCCTTTAAAAACTATCAAAGGTGATAGTCTTATTGCTTTTAAAAAAGTATTAAATAGTATAGGGAAAAAAGAGCATCTTGTTCCTGAAAATAGAATTATATTACGGGAGTTATGTAAGACTATTAATAAATCTAAAGCCAAAGTATTGAAATAAAGGGAATGGTTTAACGCAAGTTATTAGAAGTATTAAAGCAAATGTTCTATATTATAATTTTATAAGACTTTAATTACTGAATATTTATATATCTATTTAATAGATTAAATATACCATTTATTACTATATAATATATATAACATATATATATGATTTATATTTATTATTTAGTAAATTCCCCTAGTTATTGTTTTACAATAGCAACATTATAGGTACGGTTAACAATTTCTCTTAATTTAGACCGTCGGTTATATATATATATATATATTTATATTATATATATATGGTCGCTACAGACTGCCTCTATAATGGGTTATATTAAATAGCTTAATGTACAGTCGGAACCTCTAATATATATATTAATTCTTTAAGGGTGGAGAATAATAACATAATTATGTTTATATTAGGTCATATATAGAAAATATGAGATATATACTACTAGAGTGAAATAAGTAGTACTAATGTAATAATAAAAATATAATTAAATTATATTATTATTATATTATTTGTTATAAAATATTTATAGATAACAAATTTATATTAAGGTTTGGATTCTTTGGACACCCTGAAGTGTATATTATAATTATACCAGGATTTGGTATAATATCACACGTTATTTCTACTTATAGTAAAAAAGAAATTTTTGGACATACTGGTATGATTTATGCTATCGCTAGTATTGGTTTATTAGGATTTTTAGTATGAAGTCATCATATGTACGTAGTAGGCCTTGATATTGATAGTAGAGCTTACTTTACAAGTGCAACAATGGTTATTGCAGTGCCAACAGGTATTAAAATATTCTCATGATTAGCAACATTATACGGTGGTGAATTAAGATTAGCAGTTCCTATGTTATTTGCATTAGGTTTCTTATTCTTATTCACTGTAGGTGGTTTAACAGGAGTTATGTTATCTAATGCTTCAATTGATGTAGCTTTCCATGATACTTATTATACAGTAGGTCACTTCCATTATGTATTATCTATGGGAGCTTTATTTAGCTTAATTGCTGGATATTATTACTGAGGATATGCTATGTTTGGATTAAACTATAATAAAGTATTAGCTGAAGCACACTTCTGATTATTATTCATTGCTGTTAACTTAGTATTCTTACCTATGCATTTCTTAGGTCTTAATGGTATGCCTCGTCGTATACCAGAATATCCTGATGCATTCTTAGGATGAAATATGGTAAGTTCATGAGGATCAGTTATGTCAGTTCTATCTGTAGTATTAGGATTATATAGTGTATTAGTTCAATTAACTGAAGGTGAAAACATAGCACGTGAAGAAGCAGTAACACCAGATTATTTAGAATCTAATAATACAAGAGAAACACGTGATTCTGATTTAGAATTAATATTATCTAAACCTGCACACTATCATACTTACTCTGAATTACCTATCTTAATTGAAAGGGTATAATTATTCTTTTTATATATATTTATTCCTATCTTAAAAGTAATATATTAATTATATTTAATAATATTATACTTAATAAACCATATAGGAGAGTATAAATATATATATATATATAATATATTAATATAATACCTTATCAAAGATGAGGAATCATATATACCATGTATATATAATTAATATATTTAGGATGTATGACTGAGCGGTTTAAGGTGTGATATTTGAGCTATCAAGGTGTAAACCCACGTGTTCGAATCACGTTGCATCCGTATATATATATATATATATGATTATGGCGGAATTGGTATACGCGATTAGTTTAGGTCTAATTAATTAAGGGTTCAAGTCCCTTTGATCATACACACAAACATATATCAAGAAACCTCTAAAAGAGGAAAAATAGAAAAAATGACTTTAATTTATTTTATAATTTCATCAACTACATCAGTAATAAGTAGAACATTTAAAGGTATAAATAAATCTATAATATTAATAGCTAGTATATTAATAGTTATACCTACTTTATATGATTGAAATGAGTTAGATATATATTATACAACTGATGGAATAGCAGATATATTTATATTATTAACAGCATATTTATTACCATTATCAATAATATCAAATTGAAATAATATAAAATCAACATTATATTATGAATTAGTATTTAATTTAGGTATAATATTATTAATTAATTTTATGTGTCAAGATATGTTATCTTTCTATATTTATTTTGAAGCTTCATTAGCACCATTATTTATATTAATAGGATTATATGGAGCTAATAATAGAGAGAAAGCAGCAGATTATATATTAATATATACATTATTATCATCATTATTTATGTTAATAGCTATAGCTGTATATGAGGTATTAATAGGTAATACTGATTATCAAGCTGTAAGTTTATTAGTTTTATCATTAGATTTACAATGTATTTTATTTTTAGGTATTTCTATAGGTATTATGGTTAAAACACCATTAGTTCCTGTACATACATGATTACCTGTTGTTCATTCTGAAAGTCCATTAGCTGGATCTATGTTATTAGCAGGTGTAATATTAAAATTAGCAGTATATGCAATAATACGTTTAATATTACCAACATTATCAGATGCATCAACATTATATACACCAGTAGTATATATGATATGTGTAATAACAATAATATATACATCAATAATAACATTAAGACAAACAGATCTTAAAGTAATAGTAGCATATAGTTCAATATCACATATGGCTGTATGTATATTAGGTATAATGTCAAATAACATAATAGGTATAAGTGGAAGTTTAATATTATCAATAGCTCATGGTTTTGTATCACCAGCTTTATTTATTATAGTTGGAGGTATTTTATATGATAGATATCATAATAGATTAATTTATTATTATCAAGGTTTATTAACATATATGCCTATATTAGCTATATATTTAATAATATTAAGTTTTTGTAATATAGGAACACCATTATCAGTTAACTTTATAGGTGAATTATTATCATTAGCAGGTGCATTAAATCGTGTACCAGTATTAGGAGCATTAGCATTAATATCAGTATTATTATCAGCATCATATATGTTAAAAGTAACAAATAGATTAACTGGAGGTATAAAAACACCATATATATCATTAACACATGATTGTACATTTAGAGAGAGTGTATTATTAATATCATTAATTATACCAACTATATGATATGGATTATATCCAAATGGAATAGCAAATATGATATGATCAATACCAAAATTATTATATATATTCATTTAAAAGTAAATTATATAATATAATAATAAGAAAGGAGATATATATTTGAAATATATATATAAGATAAAAGCAATATAATGTAATTGGTAACATATAAGATTCATGCTTTTATTATGATAGTTCGAGTCTATCTATTGCAAATATACACAAATGAACTATAGCTCAATGGTAGAGCGATCCACTCATAATGGATTGGTCTCAGTTCAATTCTGAGTAGTTCAACATATAGTTATACGTCATGAACATGATGTTGATTCGGATAAAATGCTATATAGAAGCGTTACACATGCAAATTCTTATAATATAAGAGTGATAAGGTGAGTAAAATAGATATAGAAATATATCTTAATAGATGAAGGTATTAGTTAATGAACTAGCCGTTGACCTATAATCGGTGATGGAAGTCACAACGATCACATTGGTATTAAACCAACTACTATTAGTAGCAGCAGTGGGGAATTATTGACAATGACCTAACGGTTGATCATGCTATCTATAAGAAATATAATAAAAATAAATATATATAATGTATTTATAAAATTATTAATAAATTTCATATTTATGTTAAAGAATGATTGACATAAAGAATTAGTCCTGACCAAATGTTGTGCCAGCCGTCGCGGTTAGACAACAAGGGCAAGCATTAATCTACATTGGCCTAAAGGATCCGTAGGTTTAAAATATAGATTTTATTAATTGTATAATGAAATATAACTTTAGGGATAAAATACTATGATAGTTATAAGACAGCATAGAATATACATAAAATAAAATGACACTGAGGGATGAAAGCTATAGTAGTGACATGGATTCGGTACCCATTTAATTATAGCTGTGAACTATGTATACTATAAAATAGATAAGCGAAGGCTTTAAGTATACCGCCAGACTAGTACGTTCGCAAGAATGAAATGCAAGACATTAGACGGTTATATATATATGCAGTGGAGTATACTGTTTAATTGGACAATACCCCTAAAACCTTACCTACTCTTGAATATATTTTATCTTAGGATAATTTATACAGGCGTTACATTGTTGTCGTCAGTTCATGCTTTGTGGTATCTTATTAAGTTATTTAATGAACAAAACCCTCGATCTTATGATGATGTATATCTGATAAGATATAGGAAGTAGAGGCTAAAGACTAATCATCATGACCCTTATGAGTAGGGCTACAGGTGTACTACTATCTCTTATATAATTATATATATATAATATATGATCCCATCTTTGATGGACATTATATATAAACATAAATATAATATAAAATATAAGATATTATGATAATTTTCTTTTAATTGGATTATAGTCTGAAACTCGACTATATAAAAAAGGAATTGCTAGTAATCATAGACTAGAGTGCTATGGTGAACTATACATATATTTCGCACTAATCACTCATCAATAGCATAGATAATGTCTTAATACGCTTACGTGTATTAATGAGCATATGATATGCTATAAGTTGAAATACAGTTCGAGTAAGGGAACTTGCTCGGGATTTATATTAATATTATCTATTCTTTTATTTTTATAGCCCATATCTTAATGGTTAAAGAGACTGATTGATAATCGGTAAATATAAGTTCGATTCTTATTGGGCTAAAACATTGTTAATACTAAAATATATCTATATAAATATTATGCAAATCGCTTTAGCTGCTAAATACATTGGTGCAAGTATTGCTACTTTAGGTTTAGGTGGTGCTGCTATCGGTATCGCTTTAGTTTTCGTAGCTTTAATTAACGGAACTTCACGTAACCCTTCATTAAGAAGTACATTATTCCCTCAAGCTATCTTAGGTTTCGCCTTAAGTGAGGCTTGTGGTTTATTCTGTTTAATGATCTCTTTCTTATTATTATACGCTGTTTAATATCTAAAAGATATTATATTTCTTATAATAATATTATTAATTATTAATCAATTAAACCCTTATATATTACTATATAGTAATATTTACTCTTATTTATTCTCTTATAGATATATTTCTTTCATTTTCTTCTTTTTCTTGTTTTAATAGCTTAACGGTTAAAGCAGTACACTGTTAATGTATTGATACTAGTTCGATTCTAGTTTAAAACGTATAAAGAAAATAAAATCTTTATTAACGAGAATGTATAAACTATGATTAATTGAGAAATATATTAAAATATTTCATATATCTTATATATTAAGATATAATCAATTATATATATATTATTAAATATGTTTTTAATTAGCGGTATTAGTAGTATATTAGCTATAGGATTATTATCGCCAGTACAATCAATTGTATGTTTAATAGCATTATTTGTAAGTGCAGCTATTAGTTTATATTCTAATGGATTTGTACTTATGGGTATATTATATGTACTTATTTATGTTGGTGCTATAGCTATATTATTTTTATTTATATTATCATTATTAAATATAGAATATAATTATAAAGGAACTATACATCCTTTAATATTTACTATATTACTTATATGTTTAATACCATTAGATTTATCATATGAAACTTATGGTATTGTTGAAAATGTTAATATTGCATATCCTTTTAATGGTTTATTAGATTGAGATTTAGAATTAACTACTGTTGGTTCTTTATTATATACTGAATATGCTATTCCTATGATTCTTATTGGTTTAATTTTAATTCTTTCTGTTATAGGGGCTATTGCTATTACTAAATAATGCAATATATTGAATTATTAATTATGTTCCTTAGTGTTTTATTAGCTGTTGCTTTCTTAACTGTTGCTGAACGTAAAACTATGGCTTATATGCAAAGACGTACAGGTCCTAATGCTGTAGGTTATTTAGGTGTTTTAATGGCTATAGCAGATGCAGCTAAATTATTACTAAAAGAAATTATTACTCCAACTCATGCTGATAAATTTATTTTATTTATTAGTCCTATGATTGCTCTTATTTCTTCATTATTATGTTGAAGTATTATTCCTTTCGCTCCTGGTGTTACTATTTATGATAGTAATTATGGTTTCATTCTTATGTTAGCTATTAGTAGTGTTGGTGTTTTCGGTCCTTTATTAGCTGGTTGATCTGGTAATAGTAAATACTCTTTACTAGGTAGTATCCGTGCCACTGCTCAATTAATTAGTTATGAACTTATTTTAACTACTATTATTCTTATTTGTATTTTATTAGCTGGTACTATGAATTTAAGTAAATATGTTGAATTACAAGAATCTATATGAATCGGTATTCCTTTATTACCTTTATCAATAATATGATATATAGGATGTGTAGCAGAAACAGCTAGACCACCTATGGATGAAGTAGAAGCAGAATCTGAATTAGTTTCAGGACATATGACTGAATATTCTTCATCTATATTTGTTTTATTCTTCTTATCTGAATATGCCTCTATTTTATTCTTATCTACTTTAACAGCTATCTTATTCTTTGGTGGTGGTACAGGTATTATTTTAGCATTAAAAGCTAATATATTTGCTTATACTTATATCTGAATTAGAGCTACTTTACCTAGAGTTAGATATGATAGATTAATTCATTTATGTTGAATGATATTCTTACCTATTTTATTCGCTGTTGCTATATTTATACCTGTATTAATATATACATTAGATGCAATAATCTTATTATAATTATTCTTTTATATAATTATATATATATATATTATCCCATTTTTGAGATATATAATCATTTCCATTTTAAGAACTATTAATTATGATTATTCTTATTTTTAATAAACATTATTATTTTTAATATGTATTATATTATCTATATTGAATGAGGCATTATATATACCTACTTAATAGGTGAGATATTTTATATATCTATATATTTATTTATATATTATATGCTTTATAGTTTAAAGGTAAAACATTATACTTCTAATATAACAATTTAGGTTCGATTCCTAATAGGGCATATATATTTCTTTTGAGTTGTTAGATTAATGGTAAATCGTAGATCTTACACGTCTTAGTTAATGGTTCGAATCCATTACGACTCATTAACCTTATATTGGCATTAAAATATGTATAACTATATAAAATATAATAAAATTAATATAAAATATAAGGGTATAGCTTAATGGTAAAGCAGATGTCTTCAACACATTGTATAATAGTTCAATTCTATTTGCCCTTGTTAATTATGCCTTTGTAGCTTAATGGTTAAAGCAATCGCTTGAAGCGCGGTCTATCTGAGTTCAAATCTCAACGAAGGCATAAATAAAGGGAATGTCGTCTAAAGGTCAAGACTTTATCCTTTTAAGTTAAATATATTGGTTCAATTCCAATCATTCCTACTCATATATACTTAATGTATAAATATTAAATATTAAAAATGACTAATAATGTTAGAGGATATTTACAATTACATCCTTTCCACTTAGTTGGACCATCACCATGACCAATATTTACATCATTTAGTTTAATGGATTTAGCATTATCAATTGGATTAAATGCACACGGATATATGGCTAATAATTTTTATATAATATTAAGTACAATAACTGTATTATATAGTATGACTTTATGATTTAAAGATATTATTGCTGAAAGTACATATTTAGGAGATCATACTATTGCTGTTAAACGTGGTCTTAACCAAGGTTTCTTATTATTTGTAGTAAGTGAAATATTAATCTTTGCTTCTTTATTCTGAGCTTATTTACATTCAGCTGTTAACCCTACTATGGATTTAGGTATGAGCTGACCTCCTGTTGGTATTGATGTTATATCACCTGCTGAATTACCTTTATTAAATACTATTATTTTATTAGCTTCTGGGGTTACTATAACATATGCACATCATGCATTAATTAATGGTAATAGAACTAATACATTATATGGTTTTATTTATAGTACTTTATTAATTGCTTTATTTGTTGTATTCCAATTCTTAGAATATAGATATGCTGGATTTACTATTACTGATGGTGTTTATGGTTCAACTTTCTATTCATTAACTGGTTTACATGGATTACATATGATTATGTTAACTATAATGTTAATAATCTGTACTTGAAGAGTTTATAATTATGATTTCACTAATACTTCACATGTTGGTGCTGAAACAACTATCTTATATTTACACGTATTAGATGTTATTTGATTATTCATCTATATTATTGTATACTGATGAGGATCATAAATTTTTAATATATATATATATTCTTTTATATTATATACCTTATAGGTGAGTATTTTTATAAGCGATTATGATGAAATGGTAGACATAAAACACTTAAAATGTTTGGGCGTTATGCCGTAAAGGTTCGAGTCCTTTTAATCGTAATAAATACAATATTAATATAAATAATATTATAATAAATATATTTTTATATTATCTAATGGGATAGTTCTAATGTAGATAATGCCTAATTGGAATCACTAATATAATATGAACATATATTGACAAGATATTTTTATATTATATATTTAATTTATGATTTCTGGGATAGTTTTAATGTTGGTAATTATCGTATAGCGATGATAACCTACATAATATCTCAATATTGTCTATAATATATATTTATATATATATATATGTATATTGTCTAATGGGATAGTTCTAATGTTGGTAATTAGAGTTATATTGTAGCTATAATGCTTAAGGCTACGACTGTTCGATTCAGTCCTATCCCATATATTCTTATATATATAAGAATATTAAGGTAGCTATAGTTTAAAGGTAAAACCTTCGTATGTGGAATGATATATCTGAGTTCGAGTCTCAGTAGTTGCCCTTTCTTTGTCTTATTAGCTTAGCCGTAAAGCGTTCGTTTTGTAATCGAAAGACCATAGGTTCAATTCCTATATAGGACAAATAATTATAACATTGACCATATGATCTAAAGGTTATGATATGACTTCTTCGTAGTCGTTATACGAGTTCGAATCTCGTTGTGGTTAAATATTTTATAATATTATTGAATATAATAGTTATATAATTAAGTAATATTAGTTAAAATACTTATATACATATAAACATGTATATAAATTAAATAATTAAATAAAACAAAAATGTTAGCACTTATTTCAATATTATTATTATTTTATATAAGTCAAAATAATCTAATTACTTTATTAATAGCTATTGAAATATTATTATTAACTGTTACAGTTAAATTAATATATATGGGTAGTGTATATGATGATATCTATGGTACTATATTTAGTATAGTTATTATTATTTTAGCTGGTGCTGAATCTGCTATTGGTTTAAGTATATTAGTTTCATATTATAGATTAAGAGGGAAAGTTAGTCATACTATTTAATGTTCCAATATTTCTATTATATTTGAGAAGAGCCAATCTCTATTCATCTTGGTAATTGATTAAATATCGGTGATATTATTATTCCTTATGGTTTATCTCTTGATTCTTTAGCTATGACTGTTATGATTCCTGTTGGTATCGTTACTTTATGTGTTCTTTTATATGCTATTGAATATATGAGTCATGATCCTAATCGTAATACTTTTTATATTATATTAAGTGTATTTGCTATATTTATGACTATTTTAGTTGTAAGTGATAATTATATTATGATGTTTATTGGTTGAGAATTTGTTGGTGTTATTTCTTATTTATTAATCTCATTCTGATCTACTAGAATTGCTGCTATGAAAGCTGCATTATCAGCTATATTATTAAATCGTATGGGTGATACATTCTTTATGTTAGCTTTAGGTATATTCTTAAGTTATTTCCATGCTGTTGATTTTGATACTTTATCATTAGCTGCTCCTTATACTAATACTTTAATATTAAATATTTTAAGTTTATTATTATTATTAGCTGCTACTGCTAAAAGTGCTCAATTAGGACTTCATGCTTGATTACTTCAAGCTATGGAAGGTCCTACTCCTGTTAGTGCTTTATTACATGCTGCTACTATGGTATGTGCTGGAGTATATGTATTAGTAAGATCATATTTTATATTAGAATATGCTCCATCATTATTAATAGGTATTTGTTGATTAGGTGGTGTAACTACTTTAGTTAGTGGATTAATAGCTATAGTAACTAATGATATTAAAAAAGTTATTGCTTTATCAACTATGTCACAATTAAGTATAATGGTATTAGCTATAGGTATAAGTTCATATGATTTAGCTATTTATCATTTATATTGTCATGCTTTCTTTAAAGCTTTATTATTTATGGGAGCTGGTTCTGTTATTCATAGTTATATCTCTGAAACACAAGATATGCGTAAATATGGTGGTTTAGTTAATTATTTACCATTTAGTTATACTGCTATTTTAATTGCTTCATTATCTTTAATGGCTATTCCTGGTTTAACTGGATATTATTCTAAAGATATAATTATAGAATCATTATATGGTACATACACATTTAGTGGATATATATTATATTATATGGCTGTTGGATCTGCTACTCTTACTAGTTTATATTCTATAAGAGTATTATATTTAACATTCTATAATAACCCTAATAGTAATAAAGCTACATATCAACATATACATGAAAATATACGTATGTTAATACCTATGATAATATTAGTTATCTATAGTATATTTATTGGATTTAATAGAGATAATGTTATAGGACATTATGCTATGACATTACCAGCAAATAATAGTTTTATAGAAACTGAATTTACATTACCATGATATATCAAATTATTACCATTAATATTAGGATTATCATTATCATTAATATTAGTATATATATATGAATATGCTTATAAAGTAAGACCATCTACTGTATATAATTACTTTAATAATAAAATCTATTATGATCAATTATTAAATAATGTTATTATACGTAAAACTTTAATCTTTGGAGGTTATTTAAATACTTATATTGATAATGGATTATTAAAAGTATTAGGATCTACTGGTATTAGTAGAGCATTAACATATATTAATGTTGGTATATTCTTAAATATATTATATTTATTCTTCTTTTTATAGGTAGGTATATATACGATAGTAGGTTAATGGTAGACTCTGGCACTTCCAATGCTTCAGTGCGTGTTCGAATCACGTCTATCGTATATAATTATATATATTATTATTATATATATAAATTATTTTATTATTATATAATTATATATATATATATGTATATGTAGGTTTTATATTGATATTCTAATATATCTTTCGCTATGACTATTGGTATAGATGATCAATTGCAGCTTGATTAATTAGGGTTCAATTCCCTACATAGTGTTATACATATATAAGTCCTTTAACATTATCGTTAAATAAAAGATGTTGATATTACATTTAATAAGGCTATAAATATGTATTCTTTTACAGATTGTCTCGTAATTGGTTATCGAGCCTACATTGGGTGTAGGATTTTGAGGGTTCAAGTCCTTCCAATCTGATAATTTAAATTATAGATTTATATCTATATATCATATTATATAAATTATAAATATGCCTCAATTAGTACCTTTTTACTTTATGAATTTATTAACTGGTGGTATTTTAGCTATTTCATTATTATTATATTTTGTTGCTACTTACTTATTACCTAATATTTTACGTTTATTAATTGCACGTAATATTATTATTAAATTATAGTTTAATATAACTATATATTAATCTTTTATCTCTTTTATCTTTTTTAGATTTTCCTTTCTTTGCCGTGTTTATCAAAGGCCTTATATTTTAATATAATTATGTTTTATTCTCCACTAGATCAATTTGAACTTAAACCATTATTATTAATTACAGATAATTTAACATTTAGTATAACTAATTATACATTATATTTAATTATTGTTTCTTTCATTATTGTTTTTTATAGTTCTATTATTCGTAATAACTTTTTAGGATCATCTCGTTGAGGTGTATCTGTTATAGCTATATATGATACTATACTTAATTTAGTTAATGGACAAATCGGACGTAAAGGTGGATATTATTTCCCATTAATCTTTACTATTTTTAACTTTATTTTAATTGCTAACTTAATTTCTATGATTCCTTATTCATTTGCTATTTCTGCACAATTAGTTGCTGTTGTTTCTTTCTCATTAGCTCTTTGAATTGGTAATGTTGTTTTAGGTTTATATTTACATGGTTGAGGTTTCTTCGCTTTATTCGTTCCTAGCGGTACTCCTTTACCTTTAGTTCCTGTATTAGTTTTAATCGAAGCCTTATCTTATGCTTCTCGTGCTATTTCATTAGGTCTTCGTCTTGGTGCTAATATCCTTTCTGGTCACTTACTTATGTTAATTCTTGGTTCTTTAATCATTAGTTTAATGTCTTCTTCATTATTAGGTTTTGTTAGTGGTATTATTCCTATTTTAGCTGTTGTTGCTATTACAATACTTGAATTTGGTATTGCCATTATTCAAGCTTATGTATTTAGTATCTTATTATCTGGATATATTAAAGATTCAGTTGAATTACATTAATATATATATATATTCTTTTATTTTATCTCTTTTTAGAGATCTATTCTCAGAGATATTCTATTCTTATTATTTCTTATTTATTATTAGTAATATTAGTTAATTTACTATATATTTATTTATATATAATATAATATAATATATAATATTTATATATATATCTATTATTATTTATATATATGAATTTATATAGTTAAATTAAATATATATAATAAGATAATATTATTATAATATAATATGAATATAGGAGAGGTAGGATAGAGAGACCCTCCCGGAGGGACCACCGGAGGTACCCCCACCCCCTTAATTATTCTTTTAAATATTTTTATTTTTATAATATATGAAAATGATAGATATATTATAATATTTATATTTAATGATATATTTCATAAATATTACTAATTTATATATTCTAATATCTAAGGATATATATTTCTTTATTTTTCTAAGTAATATTATTGGGATATGTTTTCATTTTTCTTTTCCTTATCTTCATATAATTATTATTATCATAATCTACGATTAAGAAGGTAATAATAATAGATAATAAAGATAATAAAGTATAAGAGGGAATAAAAGGATAAGATAAAGATAAGGATAAATATATTTATATTTATGTTTGCATATATCTTAATCTCTTATCTAGTCTATATATTATTAATATCGATATCTTTATTAAATATAATATCCATGTATTATCGTTTATTATAATTGATAATATCTAGGTAAATAATCAATCCCTATAACTTATCTATAATTATAGATATATTTCATTATTTTACTATATCTATGATAAGGTTTATTAGTTATATATCTATCTAATACTTCTATATTAGATTTATTTTACTTCATATAATTATATATATAAGGGTAAACCCTACCATATTCGAATGAAACTCTATAAGAGTTGAATGAGAATAAGGGTTTACTAAATAATGAAGATATAATAAATAAAGAAAAATAAACAATAAAAGATAAAATAAATATGAATGAGATAAGAATTTATATGGTCAATCTCTGGTAAAGGGGAGGAAGGGGAATATCTTCATATAATTATTATTATCATAATCTACGATTAAGAAGGTAATAATAATAGATAATAAAGATAATAAAGTATAAGAGGGAATAAAAGGATAAGATAAAGATAAGGATAAATATATTTATATTTATGTTTGCATATATCTTAATCTCTTATCTAGTCTATATATTATTAATATCGATATCTTTATTAAATATAATATCCATGTATTATCGTTTATTATAATTGATAATATCTAGGTAAATAATCAATCCCTA